CAGGAGAATTAGGTTGCTATCCCAGGAGAAAAGAACAATAATTAAGTGCAAGTCACTGCTTCAGGCTCAACTGACTATATGACTAGGCCCTGAATGTAGTATTGCTGGGTACTTTGACTTCAAACTACTACTTGCAATAAGACTTCAATCAGAATAGAGCTGGAAAGAACCTTGGAGGTTTTCTAGTCCAGCCCCCTGCTCAAGCAAGAGTCCTGTACCATTTTAGACAAGTGATTGTCCAGTCTCTTCTTAAAAACCTTGAGTGATAAAGCACCCACAACATCTGAAGGCAAGCTGTTTACTGGTTAATTGTCCTCACTGTTAGGAAGTTTCTCCTTAATTCCAGGTTGCTTCTGTCCTTGATTAGTTTCCATCCATTGTTTCTTATCCTACCCTCTGGTGCTTTGGAAAATAAATTAACCGCCTCCTCTTTGTGGCAGCCTCTCAAATACTGGAATACTGCTATCATGTTCCCCATAGTCCTTCTTTTCTCTAGACTAGTCAAACCCAAATCCTGCAACCGTTCTTCGTATATTTTAATCTCCAGGCCTTTAATCATCTTAGTTGCTCTTCTTTGCACTTTTTCCAAAGCACTTTGGGCTTCCACAGTTTGACCATGACTGAATGAATAGACCATTTATAACTGAGACTCACTTTGGGGTGTTTTGACAGCCATGAGTCCAAGGCCTAAGGATGGGATCATATTTTGCCAGATTCCCTCCTCTTACAAATTTAAGATGGTGAACATTGTGATAAGTGTTTTGTTGTGGTTAGATCAATTTCTGCCCAGCTTGTAGTTCTATGACAGCATTAATCTCTATAAGATAGGAGATTTATTAAATTAGATAGGGAGTCTGTGGTTGTATTTGAGAAGTAGTAAATTATTACTTAAAAGAAGCAGTTGTGCACTCTTCCCCAAAAGCCAAACTCTTGATCAAAATGATTGGATAGCATCAGCCAAAAAGGGGATGTTTTGGAGAAGGTGATAGGATTACAAAGAATCCTGGATAAAGTGGATTATCTAGATCTCATTCACTCAGACCCAAGCAAGGGATGGTCGCTCTTGTGGATGGCCTTTCACTTGGTCTTAACTGAATTTGTTTGGCACAGACAGTACCATTAGCTTCTGGCTTCTCCAAGGATTGGGAGTAAGGGATAATTTTTCTATGGCTTTTTTTTTTCACTGAGAAAATTCCAGTTGATGGAATTTCATTTGATGATAGTGAACCATCTAGTCCCTTAATACAGAAATGGCTAATCAAGCCATTTCTATATGAAGTGCCACAGAGCTCAGTTCTTTTCTATGTGTTTTTTTAAAATCTACAGATTGTCAGTTTCAGATGAGACACCATCAGTATGATATCCATATATCTTTCCTCCCCACTCTGAACAGAGATGTAATGGATATTTATATGTCATGCTAATAGGAAGGGATTAGATGGAATTAGTTTATTTATTTGTTAAATGTATTTGCTGCCTGAATCTTAGCGAGATAGAATTACTGTTCATCCAGAAATCATCAGATTTGGTAGTGGCCCCTATGGATTACACTCCCCCTAAAAGAGCAAGTCCATTATTTGTGGGTTCTCTTGGATTCAGAGGTTCTGCATTAACAACATGTGAAGGCCATGACTAGGGTGTTTTCTCCCCCTCCCCCCAATTTCTATTTTTGGAATGGAGGCCCTTGGCTGTAGTCAGTTATACCTTCATTACCTTGAAATTGGGTTACTGCTATACATTCCACTTGGAGATGCTTTTGAAGCTATCTGGAAAATTCAGCCAGTACAGAATAGGACATCCTATGTAGAACTATTGCAGGCCCTGAATTTGTTGCCACTGCCAGGCTTTTCTCTGGCAAGTAGAGCTGAATCCAATTAAGTAGTCATGTCAGAATCCAGGAACTTCCAATGAATAATTTATTTCAGAAAAGCTAAGAATCCATTACAAAATGATCCTAGCAACTGCTGAGTATCCAAATGTAAGTTCTGTGTATAATAATCAATGTTCTCATTATTTGCATCTTTGTCTCTTAACTGCTCTATGTAAAGGGCTAGAAGCAATTCTCTTCTGGGCAGAAGATGCAGTTCCCATCTGTTCCTTGTTTTGATAAGGGCCTGTTATAGTTACCTATCTTGATCATGGGAAGCGTTTCACACTCTTTTGTTCCTGTTCAAAATGCCGTTTTTGGTATACAAAGCTTAAATGGCCTGATTTTTTTGTTACCTGTGCAATCCTCTTTCAAACAAATCTGCCTGCTTTGTATGATTGGCCCAGGAACCAATGCTTTGAATTCCTTTAATTCTGGATGTTAGAAGGTTATTTTTCTGTGAGGGCTGCATCACTGGAACACTCTACCCTTTGAGTTCTGGGTGGTCCATACTGTATATTTTCAAAGTTTAGGAAACCGTGAAGGTGCTAAGTTTTGGAGCTTGAAGTGACTGTCATTTTGTTACTTTTTAATGATTTTGACCTTTTTTTAAGTGTAAGCTGCCCAGATTTTGTGAAATAACTAAGTAAATACATCTGTTCTGTAACTTGAATGTCATCATTTTCTCTATATGACCAGGCTACTTTAATGACACTGCTCACTCACTTCTGTGTTCAGGATACGTTAATCACCCATTCCTTCTTTCTTCACAAACACTTCTTAGAATTCCCATTGCACTCACCTTAATCTCATCTTCCTCTTGACATATACACATTTCTGTCCCCTATAAATAGGTGGACAGAAAATAATTTTTGCTTCTTTCAACACACATTTGATTTCCCACATATACTGCTATCTTTCTACTAGCAATTGCACCTCTTACAGTATCCTACAATATCTGCATTCTTTCTTTCATTTTTAGCAAACGTTGAATCAAGGCATACAAATGCATCTATTTGCTCTAGGAAATTTGTTTTCTACAACAATCAAAACCACTTTAACATTTGAGACATTAAGATCCATATTCCTCAATCCAATACCATCCACTCTATCGTATATTTTCCTTAAATCAGCAAGCAAACAATCTATTTCCTCATATTAATTTCTCACATTTCTAAATTACTTGCTGAAGACCAAAAATCTGGTCTACACATCCCCTGTTCAGCATAAAGCCCCACAGCATTTTCCAAATTTTGCTGGTTACCTCATGCACTATTTCAATAAGAATTTTGCCAAACACATTGCCAGACATACTTAACAAACTAACTCTAATAGATTTTGCAATCACTTTGGCTACTTTCTATTTATCTATGAGAATAATAATGGCATTATTTCAAGTCAGGCAGAAGTGTAGATTTCATATACGTTAAAAAAGCTTGCTCATTAACAAATCACACCTACTTTTTATTACTTCCCCAGATACGCTGCCTAAACTTGCACCCCAGTTTTTCAACATTCTCCAGAATTTTATTTCCATCAAAATTACTCTGGGTTTTGCTGCATTTATTAATATTAACTATTCTTAGTTTTTAAAAATTGCATTATGTTCAGCTATCTTTTTCTGCCTATACATATTATATCTTTCATTCCAATTTTTTGAGCAATGACTTTTTATATATATTTTTCTCACTCACTTTTCCTCATTTTTCCTGCAACCATTCTTTTTCATGTTTCCCATCAACACTGTATCTCACTTTTGTGATACTTTGTAATATATTTCCTTTTCACTCTGTTCCAAACAGATTTGTCAATATTTTTCAATTTGTTCTGATGAAGTTTCATCTATTGGCTAATACTTTTTTCATATATACTGCTCAAAAAAATAAAGGGAACACAAACCTATAGGATCCTATACATTTGTGTTCCCTTTATTTTTTTTGAGCAGTATATTTTCTCTTCTTGCATTCATTTTACTTTTACTCTATTTTCTTTCACTTCTTTCACTTGTCCCTTGCCACCCAAATTCCCCTTTGATGCTACCAAAAAAATTGTCTGTCTCACAATCAGGCTTTATGACTTTCTTTGTTTTCTCACTTTTTCATCATAATCATTCATTTGGGTTTATATTCATTTCTTTACCACATCACATATAGATTTAACCTTAAAGTATGTGTTTTAAACAAGCAGACCTTTTTCTATGGAAACTGTATTTATTTATTTATATTTCATGTTTCTACACCGCCCATCTCCCTCAAGGAAATTCTTATCACTCACTATTCTAATCCATTCTTGGGTCTTCAAATGGTTCATTACATTTTTCAATATTCTTTTATCTGTTCTAAGTCATCCTTTTGTCACCTTGTAGAAATATTTTTCCCCTGGATTACATGCAATTAGAATTTTGCACATTTTTCTCCCAAAATCATCCATAGTTCTTCCACTATAGAATTTATTGGAGCCTAATATACAGCAATTTATAATCATAAATTGATTATATGTAGCTATAAATTGATTATATGTAGCTACATAGCTATGTAGCCACCCATGATAATCTACATGATGCACATTTATAATTTGGACATACACTGCCGTCCTTTCATTTATATCTTTGCTTTACTTTTCTGAATGTGCTAATACCCTCAAAGATCAGGCCACATTCATTCATATATATTATTTTCTTCATATTCTTTAATTTCACAAATACATAGCTTTGTTTTGATTTTTTGTTTAATGTTTTGTTTTTAATTTTTTCCTCTTTTTTTTTGTATTACTTCTCTCTCATTCCAAACTGCAATCTTCTACATGCCATGATTATCACCAGATGGGTCATAGATGTTGACCTCTGCTTCCTATTATCGATCAAAGTCAAGGTATAACCAGGTTACTAGCCTTAATTGTATTTTTCCCACATGTAACATTCCCTGCTGATGGTGAGGGTGGTACCATTCAATTCTAGCTCATTTTGATAAATATCCCACAATCAGAGTCCTGTTTTACTCCAAAAAACATGCTCATGCTATTCTATAAATGACTCTCTAATTTAAAGTACCCTTTGTAAGCTAATAACTGTTTTCACATCCTACCAACTCAGGGGTATATGCAGTATACTGGCACATTCTCAGGACAAAAAACATTAAATTTTAATGTTTAATGTTACACTTGTACTAAAATATTAACAGTGTGACTTATGCCATTCTTTAGAAGTATTTGTCACTGTTCCATGGAACACAATGTTAGGTAATTGTACATGGAATATTTCTACTGTGTTTGGCAATATGCCATTCATATTTTTAGTTATTGTTTATATCACTTTTCAAAACATAAAAGTTGTTTGCATTTTGAATGCATACATTAGAAGGGAGAAAAATCTCACATTAATGCAAAAGAGATGATAAATACTGAAATGTTTTGCAACAGCCCACTCAACTTGACTGATCTCCAGATGTGTGGATTTCAGCTCTCCAAATCCCAGACAACACTGCTGTCTCTGAAATTTTAGAAATGTAAATACAATACCCATATTTAAAAGGGCCCCACGCTGGGAAAAGTTGTTCTAAAAGAGATTTTAATTTTAATAGCTAAGTAAAGATTGCCCATACAAGATTGTGGAAAAATTAAAAAATATTTTCTCTTCATCTTTGACTTTGTAATAACTTATCTACATTTTGATGCTTCAGAAAGTAGGAAAGCTATATCAGTAAAATAGAGAATAGGCACCAGACAAAGCCCATTAGATTCTTATCTTTTTGAGGCAGGTTCATAACTAAATAATTAATTATAATTATTTATTATTATAATTATAACCTTCATTCTGACTATATATAAAATGCTCTTTAGAGAAATGAATAGGTTTGACATATCATTAAACTATGAACAGATTAATGAACAAATTAATTAAATTAAACTATAATTTAAATCATGCTTTAAGTGTCAACACTTATTCCTTCATTCTGCTTCCATTTCTCTTCATCTCATATGACTGCTTGAAGGCTCTCCAGGATCTGCACGAACAGGCAGCTTTGCTAGCTGTCTCAGCGTGTGCAAATGGCAAATAACTGGTCTATGGGACTATGCAGTGGGCTGGATCAGATATTACTTGAGATTCTCTCTATTATTCTATGTTCAGACATGTTTCGTTACAATACCAGCATCCAAACTTTAGAGTCTACTTTCATATAAGTTTGTGCATGGCCCTGTCACTGCAGAGGCAAATTGAAGCCCTGCTCTAAGGCACACACTTTAATATGTTCTTAAATTTCTTATTTTCCAGAGAATAAACTAGTAACAGATAGCTTGCATTTCATTGTAGCTTCCTGCTTGACCAATCTTCTCTGTCTTTCTGTCTTTTCTTACTTTAGGCATACTAGTCAATGGTTACATGCCATAGAATGGCTTGCTAAAAATGAGCAATTCTGTCAACGTCATTTGTATTTACACCATATTACTTTTCTCACCAACCACAATTTATTTAGGCTGCACTATATAGGAAACAAAAAGCTATATTCTTTGAATATTCAGGCTTCCCAAAGTAGGCACTTTTTACAAGCAATATTTTGCATAGGGAAATACATTCTTGTGCCTATCTTTCTCAAATATATACCTTGAAACAGGGACGTATTTGGTTAGTTATTTGATGATGACCACCAGACATGGAATAATAATTTAAAAAGTCCTGAAAGAAGGTTCTTGCAAATGACTTCCATACTGTTGCTAATAAAACTATAGACACATATCCTGTAAACCTTTCAATTCAGAGGCATTACCTTTACGTGTATTTTCCCAAGGCCTATATTATTTGTACATAAAAGTATGAAATTATGAGTTACGAATTACATCAGAAAATTTTGAGCAATGCAGGTCTTAGAATTCAGGCTTTTTCTATAGACTTGTGAAGTCCAAAATGAACAATTAAACAAACCTTAATTCAAATTTCTTATTCACTCATCTTTACAATACACCCACTAGTATTGCATAGTATTATAGTCAAGTAATGTTGGGGCAAGTTTTATTATTTGCTGCTAGCTCGGTTTTTCTGGAGCTAATTATGCTAGGAACAGATTGATGTGGCTTCTCCTTATTTTGTTCTCACATAGTTCCTCTTTAGCTTCCCACCTTTTTTCTTGCAAATTCTTAAATAAAGACGTGTTCTGAATAGGAACATAAATCCTCTAAAGTGATTCTGGGGTCTCTTTGGAACCAAATGCATATGTCAGCCATGCAATGCATACATTTACTAACAATGAGATTGCTGAGCTTCAGGTGGTTCCCAAGCTTTGTGGAATGGAAATGAAGCAAAATGTGTTGCTCTAGTATTAATCTTTCAGTAGAAGAAAAGGAAACAGAAATATGTGAAGCATGCACTATTGTTTCTCTGGAAGTTCTGAACAAAATCCCAAGCCAAGAATTCTTCTACTTCTTTTGACTTGAAGGAGCAGCTTTGATCTCTTGGGTGTAATTGTTATAGATCAGCACTGATGCATAAATCCTGGAAAATCTTTGGAACCCAGACAGTTTACTACAAAAATTGAAAGAAGTCACATTGGCCTTGCCAAACAGGAAATATGGGATAGTTAATAGTACAAAATGCACAGTGACTAGTCATGTAAGGATGTTGGTAAGACTCTTTAACATTCTTGGGGAAAGGAAGAGAGACATAATTCTGATTTATTCAAATTCTGCTCTCTGAATAACATTGCAACCAAATACAAATAGCCCCAAATAAGGGTAGTGCATTAAACCTCATCTCCTCCATCCATGTAAACACAACATTAATACTGAAGAAATAATAATAAAAAAAAAAAATATCCAGTGTTGGGTTGCATGTCTCTGTGTTAATGTTCCTTGTTCAAGATTCTCAACCATACTTACTTCTACATACAATAATGGGAGTGAACTGAAATGATTCACCTCCAAGCAAAGACCATCAAGATTTTCCCATTCTTTTCTCCCCTACCAATACACCATTTCATTTCATTTTGTTTTTGTTTTAGTTTAACAACACTTGATTGAATTAGTTCCTCAAAGTCTGTAATTCTGTGGTTCCACTCTCCTGCTTAGTAATGATGTCCACTCACACCAAATGTACAGTATGTGAAGTGGAAGAGCTATTGGACTGATTTTCCCCAATCACCTGAGTTTATTAATTAATTAAATATTAATCCTTTCTTCCCAATACTTTAGATTCCAATTTGATCTGTATGGCAAAAAAATACTTCAAAAAAACCCCCCATAAAATGGAAGCAAAATTGAATGTGACGGATATCTTCCCAGGTCAGTAAAAGTACAGATCTTCTTGGGGGAATGGCTAGATACAGAGATACATCTGAGGTGTGAAAGGATGTGATTTAGTTTGAAAAAAAAAGGATATGAACAGAGCAGGTGATAGTGGTGGGGAGTTGGAGAAGAGTCCATCTTGCAGCATAAGAGCAATGATTGAGTGATGCCACAGAAGTGCATACACAATGCTGTGAATATTCAGAATATAATATATCACAAGTTCCATTGGTTGGATATAATTCCCATTCATCTGACAGGGGAAGTCTGGTTCAGCTTACTTTATAGTGTTCTCTGTGATTGGACAAAAGTTGTGTGACATAGGCAAATTCCTTTAATAAGGAGAAGTAGGGGGCTCTTTTTGTTCATTTAATTCACAGGATAATAATCTGAAGATCTTCCTTTACATTTCTTTTTTTTTAAAAAAAAAACTGTGATATTATTAAATAGTTAACATGAAAGCCTATATTCCAAAGAAGATCTGTGTGCAATTTTAAGAATAAACATCTGTTTTACACAGTTACTGCCACCCTGTGTGCTGCCAACAGATGTGGGTAGTGCTGTCCCCCAACCCCATACATTTTGTATCCACCTCTTGGTCAATCAAGCCAACGTTTTGTAAGGGGTGGATGAGTGGTGCTTTTGAGCAATGTCCGGAAATAACTTGTTCCAAAGCTGTACTGTTAGAACTGTTTGATATGGTTTAAAAACAAAGCAAAACCAAAAACAACCAACGGTGTCCCACAATTTAAGAACGGGGTCCACACATATGAAACAGCTCCTCTTTTCAGGTTCTTTTCCATTAAGAGTTTGGTGGTGCTAGCTGTTGTTCTCAGCCGTGAGATATTTCAATGCAGCAAAGCCATAGCGGCGTGACATATCCTGCTGGAACTCTTCTTTGAGGGTCTTGAGACAAATACGGTACTGCTTGTTGGAACGGAATTTGGTGATGTCAAAGCTGGGCGCATGTGGCATGTGGATCATATAGGCATTGGGAAGCACCGTGAATTCATATTCCTGAGGAAGACAGTCACAGTAAGAGTGAGCAAGAAGACCAATGTCTCATAATTCTTTTATACCAATAGAAGAGAATATGTGTAGCTCAGGGCTGAACTGTGGGGTCCTTGGTACTCTCTGAGCTCAGTTGTTTTCTTGTAGACAATTCATTACCCAATCTCATCAGTACTATTTAGTTGGGTAATGAAACATCTGCAAGAAAACCATCACGCTCAGAGAGCACTAAGGACCTCACATTTCCTTTTGTTCTGTCTCCTCTCCCCCACAGCCTTAAGCATTGAAAAAACTGTAAAACAGCAAGCGTAAGTCAAACATTGGCACTTATAAAATGACGGTCTGCAAATAAAAATCTTTTCTTAATCTCAGTGTAAATATATCTCCCCTCCCTGCCTGCCCATTTTCTTTTGTTAACTTGAGCAAAATTGAATATGGCATCTGCTTGCTAAGCATGTGTATAGTTAGGTTTTGTAAACCCCCCCCCATATGAGAAAAAAACTTGGTCAGTATTTACTGATGTTTCTAGATCATGGCCAAGACTGGCAAAAGAAAAAAGTTGAAAATTTGTGTTAGAGGGGGAGAAGAGGACACTTAAACTATGTCTAAACCACCTTTGGAGCAGTTACAATTTTGCAAGGTAAATAGAAGCCTAATAAGTGAGCACTCTTGTGGTGAAATTTCAGAGGACATATTAATAGAACTGAGTTCTGCTAAAGTTATTTGTTTAGGATAGAACCAGAACCTTGTCAACTATATTAAATGCATAAAATGTTGAATCTTGGGATTTATCATCTGAAAGACTGCTTGCATCTGCTACAGAGCAGCAATCCAGAACAGCTTAAGCAATTCTCAAGAAGCTTTTCTTTACAGAGAGATGAAACTCCCTATTAATCACTCTGCATTTATTGCAGGGTTCTGGTAAAAATGAAAGTTTTTGATTAGCAATCCTTCAGTTTCTGATGACATGTTGATAATACAGATACATATAAAGCCAATGTTAGATTCATCTTCTAGCTGGGCTAAGAGAATTTTGCAGCTTTGTTTTTACCTTCTGCCTCAAAGCAATGATCTTTTACTGACATCAAAGCAATTCTCTGCTGCCCTTTCATCTTTCCTCAGTTATGTTGCTATTCCAATTTTGCCAAGAGCAGTTGTTTCTCTTCACTGCTTACATATTTTTATGGTAAAAATAGAGCTCACTGTGGTATCATTACTATGATAAATTTGAGGAGTAAAAAAAGGAAATGTCAAGCCATGGATGCGCCCATCAAGTCATCATGAATTGAGCTTGATTAACTCAGAAGTATCCTACCTTGGAAACTTTCAGACCTGTGGACTTCAACTCCCAGAATTGAAGACTCCAATTTTGGGAGTTGACGTCCACAAGTCTTAAAGTTGTCAAGGCTAGACACCTCTGTTTTAACTGCAAGCACACAATTCTAGAGATCACAAGCAAGGGCATTTTCTCAACTCTGTTGACTTGATGCTCTTTTTCACTTTTAAACTGGGACCTGTGCCATACAAAGCAGAGTTTTCCTACAAGGCTATTTCTCCTCCATCACATCCCATCAAGTCACCCCATAGTTCTATACTTTATTCCAATAAACATATTGATTCTAATTGAACTACGAACAAGTGCAGACACTCTTGAAGAGCTAATCCCACTGGATCCACTGTTTTCCTTTCTATACAGGTAGTCCTCGACTTACAACCATTTGTTTAGTGACTGTTTGAAGTTACATACACATTGAAGTAAAATGGTCAGTCCCTGCACTTACAAGAATGCAATATCAAGGTCAATATCAGATCAAGGCCATCAAGACTAGCCTCTTGCTCGAAGAGGAAACTCAAATTAACACATTTGTAGAATTTCCCAGGTATAGATGTCTGTAGTTCTTTGGTTCCTCCTTTCCCTTAGTATGCTAGGAAGCAATTCGTCTGGAGATATAAACTCATTCAAAGTAAACAACTATTCCCTGGTGCATATTTTTAATTATTCTCGGTCTTTAATATTGTGGCTTCATTCTACTTTTCAGTACTGACTGGTATAATACACTGACACTCTCAGAGAGGACAGAAGGGTCATCAGCACTTCCTGCTTACTCTGAGAGTAGGATCACCATTTAACCATCTCTTGAGGACAGGAATGTCCAATCATCCTTAACCTCTACTTATCTTTTCTTGCTCTGCAATAAAAGGAACCGAGATGGTGCAGCAGTTAGAGTGCAGTACTGCAGGCCACTTTAGCTGACTGTGTTCAGCAGGTCAGCGGTTCAAATCTCACCGGCTCAAGGTTGACTCAGCCTTCCATCCTTCCGGGGTAGGTAAAATGAGGACCCAGATTGTTGGGGGCAATGTAAATATATATATACATTGCTTACTGGTGTACACCGCTTAGAGAGTGCTTGCACTTAAAGTGGTATATAAGTCTCATAAATAAATAAATAAAATAAATTAAAGTTAGTATTTCAAAGTCGTGCAGGGTTATGGTCTCTTCCTGCTCTTCTTCATTTTGTTATAAGCAAATATTTTCACTCCAGGTTGGATACTGTGCACCGTAGCAGAATTCCTTTTGCAGAGAAGACTGGTAAAAGGCCGTCTTTTTTTTTTTTTAAATAAACAGATTCACTAGTGGACCAGTGAAACATTCGTCTCCCTCCCTCCATCGTGAATGTTAGAAAAGTTCTGCTACTTTCCCCTTCTAGCCAAAGTAACAGGAAGAAAGGAAAAAACATGTTTTCTTTCTTTTATTTTCAGTGATCCACTAATGCAGGGGTCCCCAACTCCCAGTCCATGGACTGGCATTGGTCTGTGGCATGCCAGAAACTGGGCCATGCAAATAAGCGAAGCCCCATCTGTGGGGTGTACAGTACATCCCATCTGTGGGGTAACAGTACACAAAACCACTCCCCCTCTGGTCTGGGGAAAAACCTCTCACCACAGAACTGGTCTCTGGTGCCCAAAAGATTGGGGGCTGCTGCACTAATGGACATATCAGATAGAAGATGTCAAATATGGATGGGGCTCCTGCAAAAGCTCCATCATTTGGAACCAAATCTTCAAATCTCTTCCACTGAAACGAAAGTGAGCTATATTTGTTTTCCCAGTGAAATAGTGAAAAAACAGGGGACTTTTCCAATTTTCATCCGCATAATTGTTGGCCAACATTGGCCAGCATTGTTGCTAAACCTGAACTCAATTTCTTAAGTTGTCTTCATTTACAGCTGGATTTAGCATGGGAGGACTGCTGTTGAAAGAGCCCAGTGATAATAATGTCTAGGACCTAAATAGTTTTGTCCTTCCAATAATGTATAGGACCTGAGTAGCTTTGTCCTTCATACATTTATCTGTTAACATTCTACCTTTTTTACTGAACAGCTGGTATACTGATACTTCTTGCATTTTGTACAAAGCTAAAGAAACCTGTTTTATATCCTTAGCATTCTTTGCCAACTTCAACTCATTCTATGCTTTAGCCTTTCTCACACTCTATGTACAAAGACACTGTTATGAATTGTCCTATTGCCCCCTTGAGAAACATTTGCCTCATTTAAAAGAGTAAATGCTCCTTGAGAGGTAATCCAAAGAGTGAGCTGTATCTTTCCACCTGCTCTGGGAAACTGTTTTGTAGAGAAGCAAAGAGCTAATTGTAGGGCAGACCTGCTCATTTAAGATACCAGTTGCAAATTTAGAGATGCTGGTTAGAAGCACGGTACAGTTTATTGTTACCCATATTCTGGCAAACTGATTACTGGATGGGGGAATGATCCCACTGGGTGTTATTTGGCACAAAACATTTTTTTCATCAGACATAATTTTTTATATTCTTTCATTTTTGTCTCTTGGAATTAATTTGGAGCACCAAATGTTTATACAGAAACCTGAAGCCCATTATGTATGAACATTGCAAAAAACAAAACAAAACAAAAAAAACAAACAAACAACCCCACTCTGCAGTGGGAAGAATCCTGGCTATGTCATTATACTATATTCCAACCAAATGGAGCCGAATTACAGGCTAATTCGGCTCACTGCTAGGAGTTTGATGCTCACTGGCTCAAGGTTGACTCAGCCTTCCATCTTTCTGAGTTTGGTAAAATGAGGACCCAGATTCTGTAAACTGTTTATAGAGTGGTGTTAAGCACTATGAAGCAGTATATACGTGCTATTGCTGTTACCCAGAATTAGGAAAAATAGGATGGTTGGCTGTGCTAGCCAGGAGTTATGGGACCTGTTGATTAGGAAAACTATTGTTTTCTGCTTGTTGCTAATAGTATCAATAAATTTTTCAAAAGCAAAGATTACAACTCTTTCACAAATGAAGGCGAAATACGTGTCCCAGGATGAAATTGCAGAATCCAATCTAGATCAGTCACCAGGACCAGAGGTTTAGTTTTCTGAGTTTTTGGATTCGTGCTGGAACCCATCTTCAGGGAACTTCTCTTTAGCAGAGTGTATCTAGCACACAGATTGGATCCTGTACAACTCTTCCTTATTAGTGAATCTGAACAAGAGTGGACTCCCACATTTATAATGCAATAAGAAACAAACTTTCTAGAGCATCCTATTTTATATTTATATCCTTTTATATTTAGAAAAAAATGGGAAAACAAATTGCTACAACTAAATTTCTACTTCTCACCTGTGCATCCAATTCCATAATGTGTGCAACTTTATTCCAACCAAATCCAACAAACCTTCGGTCATATTCTGGACAATCCTGCCTTACCACAACATATGGCTCAAAATCTGCTTCCCATTCAACTCGGTATGGTGTGGTGGCTGTTCGCCACTTGGCAAAATTGGTTGGTGCATGCCCTTTTGTCCATACGTGATACCTGGAAAACATATGGTTTGAAAAAATCATTGATAGAAGTAAGCCTTGGAAACAATCCATGTGGAGATCTGTTGAGAGTACAGTTTGGTTCACTTCTCTTTCACCTCTTGGTTTGTTCACTTGACAAGAAGTGAATGAAACTTTTTGACAACACTGCTGATACAAAAGTCAGAAGAGGTTGCTGCACATGCATAGCACCTGAAGAAAGTATCTTCCAACTTTTGCATGAGCCTCAAAGCAGGGCAAACGAGCAGCTTGGCCATGTGGCTTTGGTCTGAGGAAAAGATACTGTGGTACTTCAGGATGCAGCTTTGAGAACCTCAAAGATGTCAGATTTTCAGTGGGCATTACTATCCGTTGACTTTGGGGGAAAAAATGAAAAATGAAATTTTCTATAATTACAGATTGATAATCTAAGCAAAGAAATCATGACTGATGAAGGAACAGTAACCACAGCAGTTCTGGACTATGACATTTAACTGCTAAGATTGTAAAAAATGGTACTCTGAGAAGATATTGACATGCAGATAAATGCTTTGCAAATGAGCTCAGCCACCATTCACAGTTATAATTTTTTTCTTTTTAATTTAGTAGTTTGTTTTCAAGGCAAGCAGAAATCTGTGAAGGTGTTTCAGTCATCATGGCCGAAATTTAGATCAATACAGGCATTAAATAAAAGCCTAGGCAAATACTATCAGTGCCATCAAAGCTATCATTTTGTTGCCATGTGCCATCTACACAATTTCATCTAGACAATCAATTCAATTTACAGGAAAGGATCCTTTTATAATTTGTTAATTTTACCAATGTCATTGCCAGGCCTATCCAAGCACAGCTACTATTCTTCAATTAAGACAATGATCAATACTTTTCTTTTGCATTCATTTATTTATATATCAAATTTATATGGCCACCTATCTTTGGGCATTGTACAACAAAGTTATACATAGTAAACATATAATAAATCAGTCATTATTAGAAATGTCCTTAAAAAAACAAGGCATCGAGAATCGATTATGCTCTATGTACCATTCCAGAATGATATCGGCTACTGCCACACATCTATCAATTAAACCAGGACACTATTACATCATTTGTTCATATAGTATACCATATTCCAATGTTTACTTGAAAACCCAGTACAGTCAGACAGACTTGATATTGTATCTAGATTTAATTTAAACATTGAAGACCTCCATGGAAATCTTGAAAATATTCAACTTGAAATTTTGACTTAACTTTGTAATCTAAAGGATCCTATGGTTATGCTCACAGAAAAAGCATATGTGGAATAAGAACAGGGCTGGAAGGGACTTAGGGAGTATTCCAATCCAACCCTCTGCCTTATACCAGTGGGTCCCAATCTTTTGGGTGCCATGGACTGGTTCTGTGAGGGCTCTGGTTTTGGCATTGCCAGGTTCCACACATGTGTGGATGGGGCTTTGCTTGCTCAAGTGGCCCAGGGGCTGGGGATCCCTGCCTTATACCATCCCAGACAAATGGACGTCCAATCTTTTCATGAAAATCTCCAGTGATGGAGCACCTACAACTCCAGGAAACAAGCTGTTCCATTTATTGTTTTCATTGTCAGGAAATTTTTTCTTAGGTCCAGGTTGGATCTTTCTTTAATGAGATTCCATCCATTGCTTTGCCTTCCCTTGAGTGCTTCAGAAAATGAGTCATCCCCTCTTTTTTGTAGCTGCGCCCCCAAGTATTGGAAGACAGCTATCTTGTTACCCCTCATCCTGCTCTTCGATAGGCTAAACATACCTAGTTCCCTTAACTGTTCCTCCTATGGCTTAGCTTCTAGTCCTGTTCTAGTCCTGTTATCATCTTTGTTGCTCTTCTCTGCACTCTTTCTAGGGTCTCAAGTTCATTTTTGTATTGTGGTGGCCAGAATTGGACAAAATGTTCCAAGTGTGATCTCACTAGTGTGGTATAGAACATTTCTATAGAACTCGTATAGAACTAGTGATCTCACTAGTGCGGTGCTAACATTTCTCGTGATCTTGTTACTAAGCTTCTGTTGATGCAGTTTTTTTGCCACCTGCAGCCCACTCTAACTATACTTAAGTGGTAAGTATGAGCCAGTAGTGTTGTCCACTAGGAAACTTAGATGTCTCTCATAGTTGCTACTATTGAGTCATTTGGTTATTCCTGCCTAAGTGCAAGACCTTACTTTTCTCACCACTGAACAGCATCTTATTGGATAAGGTCCAATAAGAGCCGAGGTGGCGCAGCAGTTAGAGTGCAGTACTGCAGGCCACTTTAGCTGACTGTGTTCAGCAGGTCAGCGGTTCAAATCTCACCGGCTCAAGGTTGACTCAGCCTTCCATCCTTCCGGGGTAGGTAAAATGAGGACCCAGATTGTTGGGGGCAATGTAAATATATATATACATTGCTTACTGGTGTACACTGCTTAGAGAGTGCTTGCACTTAAAGCGGTATATAAGTCTCATAAATAAATAAATAAATAAGGTCCAATGCTTCCAAATCATTCAAAAAGGAAATATTTCTATTCTATTTCTTCAGAAACAGTATAAAAATCGAATCAAAAATACATTTCAAGAATAGTTATTATAATATGCTAATAACTTTTAGTAAAATAAAATAAAGATGTTTGTATTTATTCTTTATTTGGGATATTTATTATTTCTTTGAAGTACGAGAAGAAATGGTAAGAAGAATAGTCCTACTGTTCTTATTGTATTGGTATTGGGTAAAGCCAAGGCCTATCTGCTCGTAGTTCTGTTTTTTGTTTCTTACAATGGCCAGCAAATTGTCTTTGAGGTGATAGAGATATGCCCTTCTTCCATTGTTCCACTATAATTGGCTTTTGGAAGCACGCTGTCTGCAGTTTGAAGATAATATTAATCACAACTTCGATAATATCTGGGTATCTGAAGAGAAAATGAAAATGAATTCCTATAGCTCTGTAGAATCTTTGAGAGACTGAAATGCCCAAACATGGTTGTACAATGAATCTGGGGAGACTTCATTAATCTATCAATATATTATTTGTTGCTTGTTCTAGCACTATATAAGTTTCTATTCTACCAGGTTCTTTGGCACAGAGCTGCAATTAATAAAGAATACACACACACACACACACACACATATATGTTAAAATCCAATAAAAGTCGATCACCAAGAGAATAAAAATGTAGAAAATTTATTAGCTAACCTAGCTTTTGTCAAGAGTTTTTGACATCGTCAGGGTATAAAAGGCAGTTTGTTGGGAAAGCTTATATGCAACCGCTAATCATCTGCACTCGGCTCCTAGACCGTGTTACAGGACCCAGCTGGGCGTGCTGTAATTTGAGTGTGTGTCTTACATCAGAGTATAGTTCTTTCTTACTTCCTTTCTGTGTTCCGTCGCGCGTATCTCTTTCACTAATCCTGGGATTGGCCGGAGTTCCTTCACTTCCCTCGTGGGTAGTGATTATCTCCCTCCCACCAACCTTCTGTCCATGGTTCTGCTTGTTGGGGTGTGTGTATGTTATCCCCCGTTTCTTTTTGCTTCCTCCGGTTGTCCTAGTCGAGTTACGGTCTGATCCCCCCATCTTTTGCAATTGTGATTCAAGTATTCCATTTCGTTTTATACTATTCTTCTTCCCATCCCTTTTTATAGGTGTCATTTCAATTTTTGCTTTACTGGGTCCATTGCTATTCTCCCTCCCTCGTTCCTGATAGCAACTGCTTGGGGGTGCCTGAGTAACGGTCCATTGCTGCCTAGTTCGTGATTGGGAAGCCCCCCATTCATGTTCTCCGCGTCCAGATTTTCCATCCTCACCCCCCGCTGGGAGGTCTTTCCGTCAGGCTGCTAGGTGCAATCTACTCGCAATTCTCTGCTTCCCTGTCAGATCAGTTGGTACAGAATCGCCCTCTTCCCCACAATGTGACCTAACTGCTACCACGCATCTGCGTGCCACACTCAGAACACAGAAAGGAAGTAAGAAAGAACTATACTCTGATGTAAGACACACACTCAAATTACAGCATGCCCAGTTGGGTTCCATAACACGGTCTAGGAGCCGAGTGCAGATGATTAGCGGTTGCATATAAGCTTTCCCAACAAACTGCCTTTTATACCCTGACGATGTCAAGAGCTCTTGATGAAAGCTAATAAATTTTCTACATTTTTATTCTCTTGGTGATCGACTTTTATTGGATTTTAACATGAATATACCCAAGAGTCATATTTTTACTTGTATAGCTGATATATATATATATATATATATATATATATATATATATATATATATATACACACACACATACACATACATACATACACATACATACACACATAACACACACACACACACACACACACACACACACACACACACACACACATATATATATTTTCTGAGGTTTTCGCGGGTATTTGTATGTAGGTCTTTGGTTGTTCGGGTTTTCTCCCACGTAAAATTGGAAGTGTCTTGGCGACGTTTCGACGAAGTCCCATTCGTCATCTTCAGGCTGGTGCTTTCATTGCTGCTCGAGGCACGAAGCTGAAAGCACCAGCCTGAAGATGACGAATGGGACTTCGTCGAAACGTCGCCAAGACACTTCCAATTTTACGTGGGAGAAAACCCGAACAACCAAAGACCTACATATATATATATATATATATATGGTACAAATAAAATACGAACACCAGGAGAGTATAAATATAAAAATATACTTTACTAAAAGCTGCCAAGCTTTCGTTTTCCTGATGATGTTTGGAGTCTCCAAACGAAAGCTTGGCAGCTTTTAGTAAAGTATATTTTTATATTTATACTCTCCTGGTGTTCGTATTTTATTTGTACCATAGACATGCCCAGGAGTCGTATTTTTATGCAAATTTTCCATTTTCCAGGAATATTCATTCCTTAATATTTTTCAGGAGTTCTCTAGAATCATTATAGCAGCATGCATTTTGTTAAGTCTTTTTTCCCCAGAATGAACTATAGTAAACCAAACAAGTTAAGAGAGAATTGCTAATTTTGTTTTGTTTTTATTTTATTTTGGCTCAATGTAATTGCATTCAAATTTGTTGACATGGACAGGTCATCAGTCAATACACATTAGCGCAATACAGAAATTTTACTTGGACAAGAGACTATATAATGTGACTTTCTTTCTCTAAAATTCCCTGAATAATAAGAGAAAAAGTAATTGCACTATATTTGGAAGTAGATTCAGAGCAGCAGCAATTAACATAGTCTGAAACCTTAGTGGAACAAAGTTTAATGTTTTTTCTACAGACAAGGAAATCTCCAGACCTTTAGTATAATATACAATGAAGCCATCCATTATTCTCCATTACAAAGCTCTCATACTCAAAATATCCAGGCCACTACAAAATTTGCTGGAAAGAGAAATAAAAGGAAAACATTTACCATAGAGAACTAATTCATATGTCTCATATGCCCAAAAGGAAAAAAGTTAACCATTTTAGAAAACAGGAGACCAAATAAAAATAAAAATAAAAAGTTTGGAATGATCAGGAATCATTGTCATACAACTTTCCCCTATTAGTTTGGCTTGCGATAGTTACTAACAACTTATTAAAAACACCCTGAAAACCAAGGTAGAAATGGTTGGTTGGTGGATGTGGGCTGTGAGAAGATTGGAACAATCAGATGGACTAGCTGTAGGGAGAAATACTGGACATGGATGAACAAGCTGAAATGAACACAATAGAGTTGCTGAATCCAGAAACAGGACATTCAGGATTTAGGAGATACTATTTCTACATGGGATTATAAGCTTCCTTAAGGATCAGCTTTATAGTCTGAGATTCTTCATGGATTCCGTAAAGATTTATATGCTGATAAACTCAAGAATTACTTTGTAGTAGATAGTTGCTGAAAACTGTTCAGAAACTGCAGCTGTCTAAAAATGCAATCTGGCTGCATGATTCTGAGAGATTACATATAACCGTGGTAGTAAAGCTAGGGCACGTGTGCCACAGGTGGCACGCAGAGCCCTCTCTGTGGGCACGCATGCCGTTGCCCCACTCCTAGACCTTCAGCTGGGTTTTATAAAACCTTTTCGCTTTAGGCTTCCACCGCTGTGTGCAAAAAAAAAAAAAAAAAAGGTTCAATCAAGTAATTTCAACTTCTCATGGAAAAAAAAAAGATCTCGCAAAGCAGGAATTGATTGATTGAACTTTTTAGTCCCACCCAGTCTGCCCTTACCACTGCAGCCATGCCCACCCAATGGGCCACGCCCACCAATTGGCCATACCCATCCAATAGGCCACGCCCACCCAGCACATGATGATACATAAGTTGGTTTTGAGTTGCAGTTTGGGCACTCGGTCTCTAAAAGGTTCGCCATCACTGCCATATAAATTCATATAATCGTATAATCAGTTTGACCGGGCACTGGTTGTTTTTTGAAGCCAATTCAAGGGTTTCATTATAACATATAAAGACTTACAGTACATGACTTTGACCCAAACTGATCATAGCTGAATAACAGAGTTGGAAGGGATCTTGGAGGTCTTCTAGTTCAACCCCCTGCTCAAGCAGGAAACCTATAACATTTCGATAAATGCTTGTCCGACCTTTTCTTGAAAACCTCCAGTATTGGAGCACCCACAACTTCTGGAGGCAAGTAGGTAACAGGGAAGGTGTGATATGTTTCATCATGAGTTAATGATCAATTCTCCTTTTCCCATGACGAGGCTCAGGTTTTGAAACACATTTTTAAGAAAAGGTAAAGGAGACCTTGCGGATATTACTCCACTAGTCATTGCCAACTATGGAGGCAGTGCTCATCTGTTTCAAGGCCATTGAGCCAGCACTGTCTGAAGACATTTCTGCGGTCGTGTGGCCAGCATGACATCATGAAGCACTGTTACCTTTCCACCAAAGTAGTACCTATTAATCAACTCGCAATTGCATGCTTTTGAACTGCTAGGTTGGCAGATGTTGGGATGGGGGCAGGAGCTCACCCCGTTGCGTGGCACTGAAGTCTTGAACCTGAGCTGCTGACTTTCTAACTTTTTTTGTGTGTTTTTTTAAAAAACACATTGCATTGTTATAAATTGAAACTTGTTCTTTGTTTATGAGGAACCAAAAACACATTGAAGTCGTGTAATATTAAATATTTTATTGTTAAAGGATAATTGTTTTAGTTCTTGGTGTTCTATAACTCATTTTAAATGATGTTTTTATAATTGGTTTTTATTGTATTTTATTTTTTTGTAAGTCACTTTGATCTATGAAGAGAGGGGAGGACATTCATACCCACTTACATCCCTGGGGAAGGGGGACAGATGGAGGATTTTCAGAAGATGTAAACCAATTTCCCACCTGGTTCCACAGCAATCTTATCTTAGAGATTTCTTACTGAACTTACTGCTTAGAGTCCTAACGGGAAAATATATATCTACCTGACAACCACCCTCCACCCAAAGTACCGCGTGTTTTGCTGTCCTTTTAAGAAATGGAACTTTGTTTGATGACTGTCTGTTTTTCCTACTATTGGAAGCCAGGAAAAATATCCAAGACTCAGTAGTCTTTCCCAAAAACTCTTTCTTATGGTTTATTGTCTAAAACTCCCCAATCTTAATCTTTTCAAATTAAACCTCCAGACAACCTCCTAAGCCTCAGTGAAACAGGGTAAATGGATGGCTCATTTTAAGTAATAAAAGGGAGAATGAGAACATGTTTCTAACACAAGTTTAGAATGCTTTAAATGTACACTACTATGTGCTTTTTTTTATACCCAACTTCTTAAAATAGAGAGGGAGGAAGCAAATCTTTTGAATGAATTAAATAAAATACATGCAATACCTGAATGTGAAGAGTGTTCCCATGTCCAACATAGATAACAGCTCTGCCTTTGACTTTGGAAAAGAGAGGCGATAGCGGAGAGTTTCAAAAGCAGGTACAATTAGAGCTTTTCTTGTATTGGCTAAGTCAAGTTGGTCAACAGATTTCCTAGAAAAGAACCAGCAAATAAAATCAACCAAATGTTAAATTAGCTTTCTAGAAGGAAGTAGCAATACAACTGAATTATATTATTTTCCACAGAGAATGCTATAATTGGTTACCATTTAAATTTTCATTTACATTCAAAGCCATCTTGTATGCATTAGTAATTGCATTAACATGAAGTACAATTGGCAGATACTTTTAGATACAGCTACAAAGAAAATTTCTACTTTCTCTGATAAGAAAAAGCCTCCACGCAATAAATAATATTCACAAAGTGCTGTCCCAAGTGTGAAAAATGAGATTCTTTTTTTTCTGTTTGAATTTTTAAAAGCTCATGATTCATACGTTTATTTCCCCAATTTATATTCAGACGTGTTTGCCTATAAGAATTATCACCCACTCTTTGGCAAATGCTGGCAATGAATTGCAAAATTATGGTATAACCTATCAGAAGTTCTCAAGCAGCAGTGTGAAAATGGAAGATTCACTTTCATGTCTCTTGGGGAATATTTTTCTGAATAAACTTTAAACTTTAGATTTTGCTATTAGCTTTAATTAACTGGTTTCCTCTCAAATATTTTTCGGTGGCTGTTTTATAAATGAGGTAACTCTTTGCATACTTTTCTGAAAATTATTTGAAGTGTCTGTATCACATTCCTTTTTCACTATGTACTATATTTTGTCAGCTTCCTATTTTAAGTTTTGTATACTTTTTCTCTGTTTCCTTTTTTCCCTCTGCTTCCATCAATTCTAATTGACCCAGGGAACTACTTCTAAATAAAAAAAATATTTTCCAATCCACCTCCTCCAGCTGCCAAGATTATTCAGTGCTTGTGACACTCTTAACAATTCCACCCCCAGGTTTAGGTGTTACTGTTCTTCTGTTGATTCGGCACAGAACTTGGTGTGACCGACAAGATAGCAAAGCAAGGAGGAGGAATACTGAAGTCATTTATGTCTCATTAAGTGTGCTTAGACTCAGCCAGGTAATGTGCCTTCATAGTAGTCTCATGAGCAGATCATGATTTCATGTTTTTCAGCTGTCATGACAGACTTCCAGGATTTTACTTTGCTCACTGGAAGTAGAAGTCAAAATAAGATCCTGCACAGTTGGAAGAATGATCCCCTGAATGATCATTACAAGGAGAAAGCCACAGTTTGTTGGTAGAGCAAATGCATTAATGCAGAAAGTACTTGACTTCATCTAGTTAGGGGAAAAAACTCTCACAATGGAATTGTCATGCAAATCGTCAATTCTAGAGACAAGTGTTTCTTAAAGTATGACCCAGAAGTCCTAGGGGGTCACCCTAGAACCTCTGAGGACTCTCAGAAATCAGAATTATTTCTCAGTTTATGTTGAAACATAATACAATATTAAAATCCCATCCAATAATTGTGGGAGTGATAGTGACAGCAAACATGTTAATTTTAAATATTGATATATATAATCCATACAAACAAAAACTCTTTTGGAATCCTTCATAATTTTTAAAAGTAGAAATCGGTCTTGAGAGAAAAAAAAGTTTAAGAAACACTGCTTATAGATGATATTGGCTTAGGCAGACCAATGGGGGGAAGAATTTTAGAGAAAAAAACCTTTAAACATTATTATAACAATATTGGGCTAGGTGGACCAATAATCTTACTCCATACTGACACAGCTTCCTATATTCCTTATAATATGGCACTTTTGTTCTCTAGAGCAACAGATACTCAAACCAAGTGGAACTGTTACTGCTCCAACTGGCAGATTGGAACGATGGATAAATGTTACAGTATAGTGTTTCTCAACTTCGATAACTTTAAGTTGTGTGAATTTCAGCTTCCAGAGTTTCCCTGGAAAACATAACTACTGCCTCACCAAAATAACTAATGATGCTACTGATTAGACCCATTTTTGAAAACAAAAGTTGTATCATAAATGTTAGCTATAAAATGCTAATTTCTGTACTGCTGGAAAAAAATCTATATTACTCCAAAAAGGATTAAAAATATATAGATTTGCATATAATAAATTATATACACTGATATATATAGGAAGGGAAATCTATTTCATTTGAAGGGAAAGCCTTAATTAATTTGTGAGCTGTTTAATTGCTCATTGTTAATAATAATAATAATAATAATAATAATAATAATAATAATAATAATAATAATAATAATAATAATAATAATATTTGAAAGGGACCTTGGAGGTCATCTAGTCCAACCCCCAGCTCAGGCAGGAAACCCTATACCATTTCGGACAAATGGCTGTCCAGTCTCTTCTTAAAAACCTCCAGTGTTGGAGCATTCACCACTTCTGGAGATAAGTTGTTTCACTGGTTAATTGTTCTAACTGTCAGGAAGTTTCTCCTTAGTTCTAGGTTGCTTCTCTCCTTGCTTAGTTTCCACCCATTGTCCTGCCTTGGAATATAGCTTGACACCCTCTTCTTTGCGGCAGCCCCTGAGATATTGGAACACTGCTATCATGTCCCCCCTCGTCCTTCTCTTCATTTAACTAGATATATTCCAAGTGTGGCCTTACCAAGGCATTGTAAAGTGGTATTAACACTTCATGTGATCTTGATTCTATCCCTCTGTTAATGCATCCTAGCACTGTGTTGGCCTTTTTGGCAGCTGCAGCACACTGCTGGCTCATATTTAGGTGATTGTCTACTAGGACTCCGAGATCCCTCTCACAGTTATTACTATTGAGCAAGGTACCCCCTATACTATATCTGTGCATTTGGTTTTTCTTGCCTAAATGTAGAACCTTGCTTTTTTCATCATTGAATTTCATTTTGTTAGATAGCGCCCAGTGTTCAAGTCTGTCCAGATCCTTCTGTATCTTAAGTCAAACAGCGTGGGAGAGAATGCAGTGGCTGAATTGGTATAAGAAGAGGGGACACTTGAAAATGCAAGCCATGAGATCCAGTACCATTTTGAAACAGTTTGTAGAACTTAATGTAAGCAAAAAAGGGTAATAGTTTATTTGTTGCATTTCTACACTACCCTTCTCACCTAAGTGACTCTCGACAATTCACAATAAAAAGTGGATAGAAAAATAACCTCCCTAGCAAAATAAGAATTCATAAAAACCAAAGTTCTTTGATCCTTTGGCCACAAGATGTCCTCATTGCTCAACATACAGGAAGAAGTTAATAAAATCTTGAGCCAGAAGACAATGTAAGCAGTGAAAAAGACAGAAACCCACGAAAATCAACATTCACATTTACCACTCATACAATACACACTGAAGTCATTCCCTCCCTTTATCTCCAAGGTCAAGTACGGTAATTATTCTGTCTTGACTAGATTTTGTCTTTCAATCATTTATCTAGCTTGTTTGATCACAGTTCTGCTTCCAAGCTATAGTGATGGGTTAACAATATGTCAAAGAGATAACAACTTCAATAACATTTTCACAGCCACTCTGTTAAAATCATCCTGGAAGCACAGATATTGGAGATGGGAGTGACCTATAAGTCATCTGGCCCTTTGCCATGCCGAAACAGAATGTGATTGTACATTTATTGAAGATTTTAACCAATTCAGTGCTAAGGTGGCTTAGAAATGGAGCTATTCCCCGCTTCTTTGGGAATACATCTTGTAATACAAATGTCATTATGCTGCTGGTTGTCTCCAGATGTGCTCAACTTCAGCTCACATTTCTCCAAATAGCCCTGCTGAATGAGAATTATGGAAGTTGGGAATTCAACACATCTGGAGAGATCACAAAGCTGTTCTAGTGATAGATGTAAAATATATATGTTATATGTATTGATATACTGATATTTTTATTTTATATCTCTCTATCATCTGTCTCTCTCTCTATCTATCTATCTATCTAGTAAAAAGACTGTATGCATTTTCCAGATATCTTGCTTTAAAGAGATGATTAGAAAACCAGGATGTCAACATTCCAGATATAGTCATTTACATATTCCTTTAATTTTGAGAAAATTGGCAAGATGTCTACTAGGTTAGAGCATGTTTTGAAAAATATCAGTCACAATAGCACTTAGACTTATATACCACTTCATAGTGCTTTTCAGCCCTCTGTAAGTAGTTTATAGAGATAACAAATTGCCCCCAACAATCTGTGTCCTCACTTTACCAATCTCAGAAGGACGGAAGACTAGGTCAACTTTGAGCCAGCAGCCAGGATCAAACTCCTGGCATTGGGCAGAGTTAGCCTGCAATACTGCATTCTAACTTCTGCACCACCAATGTTAAGAAAGAAATGTTTTCAGCATCATGCAGCCATAGCAGCTACCTGCTATTCATTAAAGCAGTCCACTTTGTTCAGGTTCCATACATGCCTCAAATACTGCAGCTATAAGAGCTACATTAACTTTAATGACCCCTTTCTTACTCATTTATCAAGATTTGCACCTCCTGAGGTTAAGCTATATCTTAGAAGATTCTCAGTATGATGCTCCTACCTAAAATAGCCTGGCAAAAATCTGTGGCTTTAGGCCCACATGCTGGCTTTGGCCTAATTTAGATCTCTATCCTTGAAGGTTATTGGAATTGGAGAAAAAGAGGGAGGAAAATATAAGATTGGAGAAAGATGCGATGTCAGAAAAATTAAAAGGCTGTTGGACAGATAAAGATGGTAGAAATAAGATACTAGGTGCTCCCAAAGTCTCTGTTCTTCAATTTTTTCCTGAGCCGTAATAACTATCATCCCACAGCCTCTATTACATTAACACCCTCTCCCCCAAAGTCTCTGAATTTTACCTTGCACAAAATTATCCACCATGCTATTACATTAAACTGTCTCTTTCTTTGTCTCTTACACTTTTCTAGGCAAACATAACATATAAATTTTAAGAAGCCTGTATCTTCTAATTCTTGCCTCCCCAGTCCAAGTTATGTTACTCCTGTATACCTAGCCCGGCTGATATAGATAGTTTCTCTCTATCAAAACTATACTTAAGGATTGAAAGTTGCATGTGTTACTGTCCCACCTTTTCATTTTAGGAGTTTGAGTTGTTCTACACAGCATTTCTTCCTCCTATTTTTGCTGCAGCAATGCATGTGGTAGGTAGGTTTGTATAGGGTGATTGGTCCAAAGTTCTCCAGGAATTTCCATGGATAAGGGTGGACTAAGCCCTGGATTTAGTTGTTCCCTGGTATTCAGGATGCTGCTTGTAAGCTCTATGTGCTTAGAGCTCAAAGCATTGTTAGAGACCCCACACATCCACTTTACGGTCTGTTTCTGTTGCTCCCCTCTGGGAGGAGGTTTTGAAGTATTTCTAGCAGGACTACCCAATCTTGTAATAGCTTTGTTCCCTATGCCATCTGTCTGGTAAACTTGCAAGATTCATTTTTCTTGCCATTTTTCATGTACATGTATACATAACCCGAACTAGACTGTTTTTTCTCTGTCATATAATATATGTGGGTATATGCATAATTATGTATGTACTGTATGTATGTATGTATGTATTTATTTATTTTTGTCATATTTATGTATATCGGAGGTGATGACCTTTTGAGAGCTGAATACAATGAAATTTCATTTTAATGTATGCCAATTAGTGTACATTCAAAGTGACAATAAAGTTATTATTCTATTCCAGAAGTCCCCAACGTTTTGGGCACCAGGGACTGTTCTGTGGACCAGACGGGTTGTGGTTTCATGTACTGTCTGCATCTCATGGATGGGGCTTCGCTTGTTTGTGCGGACTGGTTTCTGGCATGCCATAGACCGGTGCTGGTGCATGGACTGGGGGTTGGGGACCCCTGTTCTATTTTATTCTATGGATCTTCCCACTCCTGGTCTTAATCACTATAGAACCCTGGCCACACTGTTTGTGAGAGGAATGATTGGGGGGGGGAGTTACCTGAGGTACTCGTAGAGTCCATACATAGGCAAGAAGTCAATATCAGATAGAAACATGTATGGAGTGCTGATGTGTTTCATAGCCACATTTCGCAGGAGATTCACAGGGTAGAATTGTCCCTCTTTATACACTATGTGATATCCAACATTGTGACGGCTCATGAGGACCTCTGAACCTTGAGCATAGCGCAGAAATTGTTGGGCCTCTGCATCGGAAAGATAGAGTGCCAGACTGATCGGCCCTTCCCAGTGCTTACAAATGGCTTCAAGCATCTGCAGTCTAGGAGGAGAGAAAGAAAGAAAAAATTCAGAAAAAGTCATCGTCATTAGTTTGGTTGACCTAAGCAAGCCTTTCTGTCTTGGTGTTGATTTTCAAAAGGGCAAAAGGTATTCAAGTCTACCATTCTCTTGCTGACCGCCTGGAGACCTCTTGGCACTGTATCGGAAGAATTTCTTGCTTCCCTGTTTTTTGATTCCTCACCTTGAAATTCCCAGCTGGTCTCCTATCTAAGGACCAACAGGATCAACTTTATTTCATCCAGATGTTATATTGTGCACCTCCTTAGAGATTCACTCAAGAAAACAAAAAGAAGAAATCCTTAGCTAAACATGGCCTGTGTTAAAACACTAGGGAATCAAAGCCTAAGAAAAAACTATTGTAGTACAATGTCTATTCTCTTTAAAAGGGAAAAAATAATTAATTTTCAAGGTTTTATGTCTCCACCGAGAACAGGAAAAGAAACAAATGCAGCAGTTTTATGTAATTGTTGCAGAAGAAAACATGTGTTTTTCTAAACAGTGAAAATAGATAAGCCAAGAAGTAGAAAGAGATAAGTAATTATTTCACTATTCATTTTATTATGTTTACAAGGAATGCGAGGCCAGAGTGGTTAAAAAAAAAGCTTAATAAATTAAAAAGGTAAAAATAGAAACTCCATCAAACAAATAATAATAGTAATAAAAGTCTAATAGTAAAAAGGGTTGTTTTGTGTTCAGGAAAACAAGGCTTTTTGGTTAAAGATGGCGAATCACTAATACCTACAGAAAAAAACATTAATGAGGAACACTTTAAATAATTTATTTCCAAGATATGCCATGGGTGTTTTAACAAGCACAATACAGTCTTGCATTAATTAACAGCACCACACTATAATCCATGTGCTTCCAGGATCTCTTTCCATTCTTAGTAGATTTAATTAAAATACAAGATTATGAAGATATAAATGCTAAAAACCACATAACTTTATGTGAAGCTGTCTTTATTCAAAGATGCAATAGTTTTCCTGTCTCTTTTGCTTATTAATGTCAGGGTAAGAAATGTCTATCAAAATCCATTTCATTTCAGACATCCTGTGAAATAAGCAACCTTGTACCCAGAATTCACTCATTTTGAGAATAAGGCTTTAGTACAATTGCGGAGAAATGGTTAGAAGCCTCTGATTCCTGGTTACATTAACCACTAATGGTGTGTGAGATGTTTTGAATTTAATGTAATTATTTCAAATGTGAATGGTTTGAATTGGAAATTAATTTCCTTCCTTCCTTCCTTCCTTCCTTCCTTCCTTCCTTCCTTCCTTCCTTCCTTCCTTCCTTCCTTCCTTCCTTCCTTCCTTCCTTCCTTCCACCATGGTGACTCTAGACAATGTATACAAATAAAAGCCACCATAAAAATAAAAACCCATGTAAGCCACATCACCAATGTGATTACCTAGCTACCTGGGCCAAGTACCTGGTAGAACAGCCAGGTTTTCAGAGCCTTAAGAAAGGATAACAGGGTTAAGGCCCTACTGATCTCTTGGGGGATGCTGTTCCCTTGAGGCAGGGCTGTCACAGACAATGTATTATTCTGGGACCAGCAATTGTTTGGTGGAGGGGACCCAGGCATGCTCTCCCTACTCAACCGGGTGAGGTAGGCAGAAACAATGAGTGGTTTAATTGGTCCTATGCCATGTATAGCTTTAAACATGGTAATCAGCACCTAGAATGTCTTATTAACTACAGTACAGGCCACAATTGGACCAAAGGATCTTATCATTTACTGAATCAAGCCAAGAACACACTATGGTATCAATACATCACAGTTCAGAAGTAATGATCAAGAGAAATAATTTAAATAAGGAAATAATTGTTTACAATCAGCTCTAAATGACCATGCCAAAAAAGCCAAAATTAAAGTAGAACCTGTGCTGAGGTACCATTATACTATAGGAGTTTTATATTCTTACATCCATCCACTTCAAGAAAAGTTCTTCCATGTCTAGTCCATTGCAGCAATTATTTATCTTAACTGTTGATAGTTTCACTACTTCAAGGAAAACTATTACTAATATTTGCTTAGATCTACAGTATATTGGTTATTAAGTATTGAGAAATATTCATGGACAGTTTACTATGACTTAACTTTAATATCTACCATTGGATAGGTCTATGATGCTGCTTAATAAAATACTGTAATTTATTACTGATAATATTTTCTGTAAGATGGATAAATGGATGAAATGTTTTTAATGCTTTCTTTTGCCCCCAACTCCCTTCAGATGATTGAAAAAGCTGCTTCAAAGAGTGTAGATTTTATAGATATTATACAATGTAATATGTGTATTAATATATTTGTAAGCTACCTTTTCCATTCATAATATGTCAAAAATATTTTAAAAGTGTCAGATAACCTTAAAGCACTCAGAATTACTGTACACCAAAACTATCCAGAATAATCAATGTGCAACTAGACCTGATCCTGAATAGTGATAATCAAATTGTAATATTTAGTTCCGAAGCTGGGGATGTTACTTGAGGCCATTTCCTCAATAGTCATTTATAACATCTTTAGTGTCACCAGCCACTATGGTGAAGGTCTAAGGACCATCTTCATTACTGATACATCAGCAGATTAATGCTATAAATTGTAGGTGTGAAAATGAATTGAATCATTCAGAGGGTAGCATTCTGTAATGGATGGATATCACAAGATAAAAGGCTCTAAAGAAGTCTATTCTTATATTTATTTTTATCAATATAGATGTAGAACTGAAACCATTAACTGGATCATTGAGGGAAGCATATTGTATTAGCTCTCTAACCTGCGTAAAATGCTCAGTCAAAATCAGAGATTACATTTCTGCACATACAGTAGATCCAGTGCTGTTGAGACCTTCAGACTAAGAATTCAGTGTAGCAGTTCCATGATCAACTAACTCCCTCATGGTGTGTGAACTATTGACTTAGGAGTTGTTAATTTTGCTCATACCCAACCCTAAAGGGGCACATGAAGATTTTCTTCTGTCCCTTGGTAGTTTTCTCCTCCTGGCCACAAGGGGAGCGGGGGGGGGGGGAGGGATGAAAAAAAGAGATAAAGAGGATTAATAAGTCTTCTGAGTCTGTCTACAGTAGCAATGGATCCAACTGTACCACACTGGAATTTTTAATTTTATCTCCAGAGTAGAAAGGGGATAAAAATAAAAAAGGAAGGTAGCTGGAAATGCAGCCTCCCTGACACTTCGGGGAGAAATGGAAAAAAATGGCCAGCATCACAACTCAGTGTATTGACTGAGAGAAGGAATGACTGAGTTGTTTTAGGAACTGATAAAAGCAAAAAGAAATAATAGCCCATTGCCCTAATGAATTTCTGGTCTACTATTTCAAACAGGAAGAATCTTGAAGCATCTTTTCTGACTAGCAAATACATTTTATTCATGAAAATGCATGCTTTTTAGTAAAATTTGTTAGTTGGAAAAGGTCCTATTGGAATACTTATGATTTAGTATTTCCCTTATAGCTATAGCTATTACCTTTACTAAAACTACGCAGATGCGTAGTCTTAGTAAAGGTAATAAGTAAATGGTGAAGAAAATAATCCAAGCTATTCATGGTGAATATATCAAGGTATTCTTGTTTGTCTGCTTTGCAGATTTTTCTGCTTATCGGTGGAGTTTCAAATGAAGTTTGAAAAGTAATTAAAAGAGAGAAAAACATTTTCAGTTCAGCTTATCAAACTATAATTCTCAAATGCTATAGAATAGCTAAAGGTTGCATTAAAAAGCAAATGAGTAAATTATTAACACAAACCAGGATCTTTCATTAATCCAAAGTGAAAGAAGAGATTTGTATGACTCCCACCCTTATGACATTTCAGAAATATCAAAAATCTGATTGTTCTCCCAGGTCTCAGAATGATTCTGCATCCTGTTTTAGTTTAACTTAGTTATGTCAGGTTTAAGAATGTGATGGGTTTTTTCCCCCAACTGGCATCTTCTTTTTTTAATAAGCTACCCAGAAGTGTCAAAGAGACAGGATCCCTCAAATTTAGATTAAATAAATGAAAAAAAAATATATCAGAGCTGTCATTCAAAAGAAAAGATAAGAAACCACAAGGATCTCACTGCATCTATAAACATTCAGGAAAAGGTAAAAATAGCAGTCAGAATGATCACCAATGTAAGCTTCATTTCCAGACACTGTCTTCCCTGAACCAGCTCTGTCCCAAGGTTTAAAAAAAGAGTATTGTCCTCTTCTCCTATCTTCCTGGTCTTGCAGTACAAGAAGACGGGTTTTTGTGGGTTTTTTTGTAATGGTATAGCCTTCATTTCCAAGAGAATGCTTATTTCCGTTGTTGAATGAGGGAAAAAACTTCTCATGACAAGAAAACAGAAGGCTTTTATCTCTGAGTCTGAGAGATTTTTCAGTATGTCGGGAAACTGCTCTCTATTTTGCTTCATTCTTCTCAATGGTTCTCTTGCATGTTCAGAATATATTATTTCTGATAACAGTTCACCTTAAAACTTGGATGTTGCTACAAAACTAGGACTGGTATCTAGAGGAAGCAGATTATAAAGTTCTGCAAAAAGATTGATCTTGTCCTCTCTTTCTGCTGCATGCCTTGCTAGATTAAATACATTAGCTGCATCAATTATTAGTATTTCAGCTTGTCCATCCTAATGACAATAACACAGAAAATGAGTGCAACTGCTGTAGGAGAAATTTGCTGTAATTTGAAAAAAGAAAAAGGTTTGAAGATGATTGAAAAAAAACAAACAAACATACAAGAACCCACATATTGAAACACATAACAGGAAATAAAATGGCTGAGTAATTCTTTAGCAGGAATAGTATTTGTTGATTTTTCATGAAAGAAAGAATCATTAAGTCTGATAATAAGGAAGAGAAGCCTAAAATTGGATAGAATAGATAGGGACAGGATGGGGCTGACAGAATGAGTAGTATGTTTTTCTTCTCTGAATAAAGATAAGTGCCTCTATCCATCAATAAAAATTCTTCACTTGA